GGAAATGTTTTTCATTTCTAGTTGGTAACATTTTTAAAAAACACTACTGAGGGTCTTCCATGAATTATTACTTTGGGATTTAGTTTTTCATCTGCTCTTACCACTTATTGTTTATTTTGTTATTAAATAAGATGTGTGTCTAACCCCTGAAGCCCTGTCAGAACAGGCCTTGAATAAATGTCTTTGCATTATTGGATTTTTTTTTTTTTTTTGGTATGTGACTCATTGATATTCTAGAAGATAAACCTGTTCATTATTAGCCTTGTTTGTTTTTAATTTAGAAGGGTTAAATTACATTTTATTAAACTTCATTAGCTTTTCAAATAAGCAAGATGAATGTAGCCTGCGTTCTGCATAGTCACTTTATCTCATTGCTGCTAGAGTAATAAGTTGAGACGAATGTTCTCTTTGCAGTTGATAATACTTCTTTAGAAACCGTGTCAGATCACAGTCATGATTGACGAATCGCTTGGATTTGCTCCTGTTTGCCTGTTGCTGCTTTAGTTTGTTGGTAATGTTTAAATCTGCCACCTCGCATCTCTATCCGCCAGTTTCCCTTGCTTCAGGCTATTGTGACTAATGACAAAATGATCTCAAACTAAATCACTTTTTAAAATTCAAATGAAGCTTAGGTGCTTTTCTTGTTTGTAACCACTGTACTTCCGCTGAATACTGATGGAGATTCTCAGCCCTGTGGATGCAACACGACATCACTCTAACTGACACATTAGTGGCTCCAATACTTGAAGGCTGTGTGGATATTATTCCCAGCGAGTCCTGTGCCAGTTAGGTCAGCAGATTTCTCAGTCCTTTTAGAGTTTGTCATCAGGGAAAATGACAACTACTTTTTACATCGAGGACCTTGAGACAGCAATGCAAAATAACTTCAGTATCATTTGACTGCCTGGCCAAGAGCAAAGATTTAAGCCTTGAATCAGTCTAATTCCTCTCTGCTTTTGTAGGTTATGATATTTAGAGTATTGAGACTTCTTAGGCATTCTTAGTCAGACCTGGGTTCAAGTCCAGATAATTTATACACCTTAGGTGTTATCTGCAACATTAGAGACATATGCCCATAAACAAAGAAATAGTCATCTGAAGGTCAGATAGAAAGTTTCTTAAACTTCCTCTTTAATCTGAAAAAGAATCTTGATTCTGTATTACATCCACTTCAGTGAAATTTATTAAAAAATGAAGTAGATGCCTGCTATGTGCATTAGCCTACTATGATTAATAAGATAGCTTCCTATCCCAGAAGTTCACTAATACTGTGAAACTGGGAATAAGAAGATTATATTTTATTTCAGATGGTAATCCAAGTGGCATGCTTCATACTGTTCGCTCTGCTTTCATAAAGCCTCATGCTTCATTGCTTCTTTTTTCCAATCACAGACTCATCCTGGCTCTTTGACTTGAAGTCACTGTTTTCTCAAGACATATTCTTCAAGTCTATGCTGACATTACTTTGATATTTAAAACTTGACTAGTAGTGGATAGTGTCAATATAATTTTCAAAACGTCAAAAATGTGAGTCATACAAATATGGAATGAATCTATGTCAAGGTTTTGTCTAATTCATTAAATAAGGAGGATACTACTTATTAATAAAACTAGCTCAAAATCTTTTGGGGGGAATGCCTATAAGTAACCATTATTATTATTATTTGAAAAGAATACTAGAATGAGACTGCTAGATTAGATATAGAAGTAGTTAATATCCTTTGGGGAGTCAAAACCATAACGTTTGGTGCTCCTTTCTACTGAACAGTAATCTATAAGTTAATATGTAACTCACAGTGTTTGGGGTCAAATCCAGTATTAAATAGCAAAATCAAACTCAAGTATACTCTCCGAGAGACTTGCTAATCCTTGGGTAGACTTTTTAAACCATGCTCCACGATGACATTGCAGGGACATGCTGTATTCCTTTCTGATTTCCAAGTCTTGAATAATTTTCAAACGATACACTTGACTATTACAAATACTTGGCTGACTCCTATAGGTGTGGTTCATGAGGTCCTTTCATGTCTCCCCGTGTTTGATATCCAGAGGCTGTGCGTGGCAGAAGCCTCCGCCGCCCACTCGCCCCGTGACTCATCCGCCATTGCCCTTCTCCCGTCATTCTCTCCGGCCGGGGCCCGCGCGCATGCTCGGATGTGTCCCATGGCCGGGGCCCGCCGGGCGGTTCTGTCTACGGGGCTTCCCGGCGGTAATGCTGGAGTGGGTCACCACTGACTCCTCCAGGGGATCCTCCAGACCCAGGAGTTGAATCCGCATCTCTTACATCTGCTGCACTGGCAGGCGGGTTCTTCACAGCTAGTGCCAGGTGGGGAGCAATCAGCTGCATTAGAACAGAGCTCACAGTCGGTGCTTCAGAATAGTTCAGAAGGATTCTGATCGGGAAGAAAGGAAGACAGGGTCCTACCAAGGCTCTTGTGCTTCCTTCTGAGGCACGGTTCAGTCACGTATAGTTTCGTCTCTTAAGGTCTCACTTTTAAAATTCATTAGGCAGGGTTGGAACAGCCCGTGGAGCTAACTGTTCCAGCTACTGAGGCAAGTGAGGGCTCCAGCAGATGGACGGAAGTGTTGCGGTTTCCACCGTGTCTGGAGGGAACGTGCCCTGCTCCTGGCTGGTGTGTGCTGCCCGCTGCTTTTTCTGATCCTGTCAGGTGGGGCTCTTTGCCGTGGGTAGTTAGCTCATTCTCAAAAGTGGACCTGTGCATAGCCAACTTCTCACTGGGGGCTCCAGAATTTTTGGCTTTTTTCCCCCATTATCAAATTCTCCGCTGTTTTCTCCTGGGAATTCTAGCCACCTTGACTTCAGCACGTTCTCGCTTCGTCTCCTCAGCCTAGGGGGCCTGTCAGATGGCCCCGCGCTCTCCTTCCCTCACCGCAGCCTGCAAACCGCCTTTCGCCTTTCTCTCTCTGCTTGAGTCCTGTGTTCGCCAATGCTCAGTCTCTTCAAAAACGTTGTTTTACAAATGTTTTCGTTTTGTGTGTGTGTGTGTGTGTGTGTGTGTGTGTGTGTGTGTGTTTTGTCATTTCCTGTGAGACAGTAAATTCAGTTCCTGTTGCTCCGTTTTGGCCAGAAGGAGAAATCTCCAATTCTTAGAATTTAGTCTGAGGGAAAATAGGAGTTTCTAAAGATTATGGGCAACCCAACTTTTGGTGGAAGAAGGCAGTAGGCAAATATCATGCTGTATTTGAAAATATGTATTTCTCTCTTGCTTATCCAATCAGCCCTTTATTACTTTCTTCCCTTCTTTTCTCAGTATATTTAATATTTTGCCACAGTTTGACCCTTCTTTCTATCTTACTTTTTCTTATATTTTTGATTGCATCATGTGTGTGAGAGTGCATACTGTCTTCCCAATGGTAAACTCTTTAAATGTTGTGGATATACCTTATCATTCTTTAAATTTTTCATCTTGAATATAACATCTTAAAATTAACTCTGTAAAGAGGGATTCAAAATCTGAGGATTAATCAGGTGATGTTTATAATGTATTTTGTATAGGAAAAGTACAAGGCAAATAATACCTTTAGCTTTTAGGTTGATGTTAATTTTGGTTTCACTTGTTTCCACTCAAATTATGTGACATATGTGAGACTACAGCTTCTCATGAGTTCAGCTGAAATCTCTTTAGAAGAATACTCCAGGCTGACATGGAAAATACTTCCTAAAGCTTTTCAGATCCTGCTTTGGCTCTGCATGTTGCAAAGCTTTTTCTTCTCTCTCTACTCAGGGAACTTGAGGCCATAATTCATAAGTCTATGAGATATGTGTGGACTGAACGCTTTCAACCTGTTCAATAAGTGTAGTATTGGAAAAATATTTTACATATAGAATAAACATTTCTCTGTAAAGGGAGCTCACAAGTAGTTTTGTATAATATTATCCATAAAATTCCTTGCAAGTTGGCTCCTTCTAATCATCCACTTGTGAGCTTTTCTTCATCATGTCTCTCTCTCCTTACCCACCCATTTATTTCGTAAAATGGTGGGAAAAGAGGGTGGAAAAAGCAATTACAATATACCCTTAATATAACTTAGAATAAACATAATTAAAGAGGAAAGATTGTTGCAAAAAGTCACAGTATCTTCTAAATATAGACATGATTATTTTGGGAATCACTTGAGCAATTGCCTTCCTTCATTAGTATGGACAATCTATAGTTGGCTCTATGGTTATTTATCATGCCTGTCAAAATATAAGAATTTTAATGCTTACCATCTGTATTCAGATACAGTCTTGTTCTATACAGAAAATCATTTTATGGAAAATGGTGAATTCCATTTTGATTTAACCACTATTGGTAAGTAGTTTGAACTCAGATATTTATGCAATGATATGGTGGTGATATTTATATTATAATACAACAGTTTATTTAAAAATGATTTTCCTTTCTATTCACATTATTAATTGTGGTGAAAAACTAAAATGCATTAGGACTTCTGGATTGTATATAATAATGTCAATGTAAGATTATGAAAATAATTCCCAGGGATTTAGAAATTAAGGTTTTGGAGTTCCTGTCTTTTTAAAGGAATGTTATACACATATAGATGGCTATTGTTTTTATTCTGTGCACAAAAATAGATATCATTGTTGTTCATAAAGCAAACATTTACTAAACTCATTGAAATGTATACAGCGTATCAGTAAAACTGGAGAAAGATGTTGTATTTATCATCATGAACCCTTAAAGTAAAATCAAGTATAACTCTAGTTTAAAGTTCTAAAAGCCTAATCTTTCCATATATTTAAATTCTAATTATTCATAAGAATATTTTGAAATAGAAGATGCTTCGTTCAGTTTCAAATATCTGTGTGTCCTTTTTAAGTTAGATATTCTTAAGCTTACACAAAAAGCTGAATGGCTGTAGCACATTAAGAAAGGCTTCTGAAAACAGCTCATTTGTAAGTATTTGATCCATTTAAATTTTGTATAACTGCATAAAATTATGTAACCAATATAATTTTTGATATACCTTTTCAGAACACAAACGCCAATTTGGGCATGAGAAAAAGAGCCAACGCCTCGGCTCACTCTGAACCTGATGTTGGCAGCAGGGCTGATGTGGGAAACCATTCTAGCAAGTCTTCCACGGCTGCTCAAGGGTCTTCTGGAGCCACACCACAGTCTTACTTAGCTTCCAGTCCAAACCCATTTAGCCGTGCAAATGCAGCTGAAACTATATCTGCCGCAAGAGCAATTCCATCTGCTCTTCCTTCTACTCCTAGAAGAACTGGGCGTGTGCCCCGACAGGTCCCAGCTGGATCTGCTTCTGCCCAGCCTGTGTTTGGATCAAGACTGCAGCGAATTAAGACCACAGTTAATAGCATAGGGACTTCTGGGAAGCTGTCAGCCACTACTGCCCCCTCTGCTCCACCACCGTCTGGATCTGGCACGAGTAAAATAGACAAATATGCCCGCATTCTCTTTCCAGTAACATTTGGGGCATTTAATATGGTCTATTGGGTTGTTTACTTATCTAAGGACACTATGGAGAAATCAGAAAGTCTAATGTAATTTTGTTGCTATAGTAGTTTCCTAAAAGATGATGAACTTCACACAGAATGTCTTTTTAAATGTTTTTAAAGATAAACAATTGTTCTTTACTAAAATAAAAATTCCATGTAATTTTTCCATTTAAAAAATTCAAGCCAGTCATTGGGAGAGTTAATTAATTCCTTAGTGAAGGGAAAGTGAGCCATCTTTCATCTCAGAAAGATGATTTAAATAGAATCAATTCAGCATTCAAATTAGATGGAATACAGACTACCCTGAAAAGTTGGGACAAGTGAAACAGGGCTATTAGAGATCCATGGTGCATATTTATGCATTGAATTTTGAAAACAGTCTATGATATTTTCTAATACACACTATGAATATCAACCAACCACCCTAAATTTCCCAGTGGCACTGCTCTTAACCAGAATTTTTGGATATGATATGCCACAGTAACTTTTGGAGATCCTCTTAGTATCTTCAAGAAAAGGACTTTTCCTCTTATATGAAACATTTTTAAAAGAAAAATGGAACACAGCAAATACTGACCAATAGATGAAACCTCTGCCGCAGCAAAGGCAGAGACCAGGAACACTGTGTTCCTGCCGTGTGCTGGCCGAACAGGAGCCAACCGTTGACTTGAACATGTGTACTTGGAGCCAAAGGTTAACTTATTGTGTGAATTCCTTTTGATAACAGTTCATTGAGTTATATATCCTTTCAACATATATTCAGAGCCTCCCGTGTTCCAGGCACTATGTTAGACACTGTCTCTCCAGAAAAGCTCTCTGCCCTTTACCTGAACTTTTCCTCAAATAGGAGAGTGAGTGCATGCTCATGAACCATCAGCTAGCAGAGGCCATTGCATTTTTCAGTGGAGGAGGTTTATTTAGAGTCTGATGACGTAATATTTGTTTCTGCTATATTGATAGAGGATACCAAGTGTATTATTCACGTAGCCACTTTTGAAGGTTAGTACGCATTAACGCAACTTCAGCAAGTGACTTCAATGTATAATGAAAATGTGGTAAAGATTGTTCTCTTAGTGAAAAGCACTGTGTACCTCAAAGTGGTAATCTGGGCACTGTAAGACCTTATAGATGACCTGTCTCAAACTTGATCAGAATCACATGTAGAATTTGCATAGAATGAGAATAGAATTTGATTAGAATCACAGAATCATCAGAATCAGGAATTCAGTACAAAGCCTTTTAGATGCTTTACCCAACATAGAGCTATATCAGCTGGTGAAATACTAAGCTTCTAGGGAGTTTTTGTGTCCATAGTTCCTATTTCTGGGCAGTTTTATGTTTATTCTTGGGGGAATTTTTGTACAGTTTCATAACAAAGGTGAGTATTTTAAAATTATAAGAACAGTAAAAGAATGGAGTAAAGGAAAAAAAAAATCATGACTGGGGGTAGGATGCTGCTGAGGCTGTTATGCTGTTTATCAGGATTTTCATGTGCTGATTTTTCTTTTTTTTTAATTAGGTAGGGTTAACAGCTTAATTAATTTTCTTTCAGTAGTCCTATGCCTCTAAATCTAGGCCTAGTTTTTTTTGTTGTGTTACTTCCAAGATTTTTCTTCTGTACTTCTCTCTTCCTGATCTGGGGTATGTGAATGAATGTGTTCTGGATGTTTGGGGAATATTTTGATAGAAATGGCCACCTTGTCAACAGTATTTCTTATTTTTTTAGAAAAAATATATATTAATTGGTATTAGTTTTTTAGTTGTTGAATTGCCTTGAAGTGGTTGTATATGAGACCTATAAAACATGCAAATACTAAATATTAATTTGAATCATATCTGAGAATTCCTTCTTGGCTATGTCTCTAGGTGTTTCTTAGAATCATCAATAATTTTAAGGCAGAATAATACTTTAGAAATCATCCAGTCCAAACTCCTCATTTACAAATTGATGCCAGTAGTATGAAGCCCAGTAAAATTTGTATATGTGTATATATTTAATAAAGAATACTTATAACAAAAAAGCTGATAATAAGTTATTTCATGAATGTGAGTAGATTTTTAGCCTTCAGGATGATGTCTGAAATTGTGGTCAGAAGCTATGATTGTTCTTTATTCCAACAAAATGACCTTATTTCTTTGGTGAGGAAAATGCTCCTTGCTTGTCTGTTGGCCTATTCTTAAGAATAGTTCATTGGCTTTCTTTTTTTAAAAGAAATTCTTCTTCTATAAACTCTTGCAGATTTTTACAGAATAAAAAGAAATGATTTTAGATTTGTAGATCAGTGATACAGGTGGGCTCATAATTTTGTCTTTACCTTTGTGTGCGAAGAAGATTTTTGAAATAATTCAGGTATCCAAGCAAAGAGAATGGACAAAACTAACCAAGGATTCCTGGTTGTTAAGTGGAAGGATAAATTGACCAGAACGTCTAATCATTCTTGTGAAAAGGAATTATTTCTATTGCCCACAATGTTAGTAGTAAAAATACACAATTTGTTTTCCTTAACTCAATTCCATCAAATTAATTCAAAGCTATCTTTTTAAAATGATCTTTTCTGTCTTTTCAATAACTCAGAGCTGCATTAATGGAACACTTTTGTGAAGAACCAATCATGTTTCACCATGAGAAAATATCACGAGTTATTCAGTTCCGTTCAGTTCAGTCACTCAGTCGTGTCCGACTTTTTATGACCCCATGAATCCCAGCACGCCAGGACTCCCTGTCCATCACCAACTCCCGGAGTTTACTCAAACTCTTGTTCATCGAGTTGGTGATGCCATCCAGCCATCTCATCCTCTGTCGTCCCCTCTCCTCCTGCCCCCAATCCCTCCCAGCATCAGGGTCTTTTCCAATGAGTCAGCTCTTCGCATGAGGTGGCCAAAGTACTGGAGTTTCAGCTTCAGCATCAGTCCTTCCAATGAACTCCCAGGACTGATCTCCTTTAGGATGGACTGGTTGGATCTCCTTGCAGTCCAAGGGACTCTCAAGAGTTTTCTCCAACACCACAGTTCAAAAGCATCAATTCTTCTGCACTCAGCTTTCTTCATAGTCCAACTCACATCTATACATGACCACTGGAAAGACCATAGCCTTGACTAGATGACCTTTTGTTGGCAAAGTAATGTCTCTGCTTTGTAATATGCTAACTAGGTTGGTCATAACTTTCCTTCCAAGGAGTATGCGCCTTTTAATTTCATGGCTGCAATCAGGAGAGCCCAAATCCTGGCAGTTTGTGGAAAGAATGGCTATATATAAGTGGCACCTTTTTATGTCTCTCTCTCTCTCTTTTTTTTTTTTGGGGGCTTCATTTTAGTTGCAGCACTCAGGATCGTCATTGCATTGTGCAGGAACTTTTGGTGCAGTGCATAGCCTATACAGTTGTGGCAAACAGGCTTCATTGTGCTGCAGCCTGTGGGACCTTAGTTCCCCAACCAGGAATCAAACCCACATCCTCTGCATTGCAAGGTAGATTCTTAACCACTGGACCATGAAAGATGTACTTGTCTGTACCATTTAAAGATGAAATTCAGAATTGTTTCCTTCAGTACCGGGGTCTGTATTCACTAGCTGCCATGTAATTACTTCCAACTTCCAGGTATGACTAGGGATGATAAATACTTACAGGATTAATCCACAGTTGAAAAGGGCTTGCATTTTGTGTGTATACAGAGTATTTGAATAATGTGTACTTAAAATTGAACCTCACAAACCTTGCATTTGAGTTGGCAGAGAGTAGAATCACCGTCTTTTACAAATGGACATGAATCATAGAGAAGTCAGTGACCAAGATAAAAGCAAAGAGCTGAAAAGAACTTTGAAAGGTCATTTTCCGTCATTTAAAATGAAAATTAATGCAAAAATTGATGATGAACAAAATTCCTAAATTTTAAATAAATATGGGATTGGTATTAATAATTTATCCTTTTGCATCAGCCCCTAATAAGAATCCCATGGAGAGAGGAGCCTGGTAGGCTACAGTCCACAGGGTGGAAAGAGTTGGAAACCACTGAGCGACTTTACTAATATTGCTTGGCATGGTACTGGTATACACAGTGAGAAAAGAATGCATGTAATTGTATGACTGTTGATGGGGAAAAAAAAAGAGTGATGGCAGGGAAGGCTTCATAGAGATCTTAAGCTGATTTTTGTAGAATAACTGGGAGTTCTTATCCCTCTGCCGACTCCCACAAACAACAAAAGCATATTTTTACCACCATCTGAGGCATGAAAAGAGATACAGATTTTGAACTTCGAGAGGAAACTTTCAACAGCTCATTCACAGTGTTGGGAAGCAGGTAAACATGAGGACGTGAGAGTTGCTGTTGTTGGAAAGACCTGCTGGGACAGAGGGTTTTGTGTAAATTACTACAGAGAATAGATACAATCCTGAATTAGTGGCAGTTTAATGAAAATCTTGCAGGATAATAAGATGAAAACGAACATGCTATGCTTCTGTTTCAGAGAAATTATCTGATTGTCGTATGAGCTATGGAATAGACGGCCATAATCTAGACTTACTAACAGAATGGTGATATCTCATTTTTCTTTTCTCTCTCAATCTTTGTCGTCTAATTCTTTTTTTTTTTTACCCCAATGAGTTCATTGTCATTCATTAAAATATGTGACTTTTAAAAAATAAATATAGGTGTCACAGAAAATTATGAACTGTCTCAAAATCCCACTGCAGAGAAATTGTTAATATTTCATGAATATTGTGCCAGATCCTTTTGTACAAGTATTTGTATTGAAGAATAGACTGATTGATTAAAAGACAGAATTCTGTAAACTTGAGCCAAATGTTCCATAAATTAATGCTCTTAAATAATTTAAAAAATATTCCATTTATATTTATCTCAACTTAAGATAGAAATACAAGGATAAAACTGAAGAAATTATTGAAATATAGATAGTCAAAGCAAAAGATTTGAGAGATACCATATCATTTTACCCCAGATTTCAGACTTTATTTCAGGATTTTTTTCCCCTACTATGTGTCTAAATTGCATTTTTCCAAAGTGTTCTTTTGTTTCTCAAAAAGTGTTTAGTTCTGTTTGTGTTTGTTTTTTAACCCTCTGTTATAATTTTCAACTTTATAATGGTTTTGGTTTTCTTCTTTTCCTTTCCTTTTCCCCTCTGTGTCATTTCATTTTTTTTTCATTTCTCTCTTCTTGTTTTTATAGTCTGTTAATTTTTTTTTTCTTTTTAGTTTCAGACTCTCTTCATGAGATCATGTCTATAATTTATTTGAGGCTACAGAGAATTACTTATATAAACTTTTCCTTCATTTCCACCCCAAAAATGTTTTCTCTAGTATGAATTTCATCTGCATTTTCAATGTGCTTTTGTTCTTTGTCTTCTGGGCTGATTTCTGTTAATCACTGAATAAAGTCAGCTGTTTACCAAACTATAGTGTGGGAAGTGGTGGGAGAATGAATCAGATTAGCCCACAGCAGCCTTTTAAATCTCAGGTTTCAAGCGCATCTCCCCAGATTTGTTTTGCCTTCTGCCTAGAGACCGTATTGTCTCTCTGCTGTGGACGTTTGGGCGGTCGGCGTGGCCCACGCTGCCGGCGTGGCCCACGCTGCCGGACCCTCAGCTGTCCTTTCTCCGTGTTGTTTATGCTGCTTTCCCAGCTTCCCCGATGTGAGGCCAGCGGTCCGCATCATGCCGCAGTCTGCGTCACAGCGATCAGAGTCTACCAGCAGTCTTGTCTTTGCCCCCGTGTTCTACCATCTGGGAATGAACAACTGGAAACTTATGAAGACAGGATTGTTTTTCTCTTACCTTTTCACACTCTATATTACGGTGACTTCAGTGTTTGGAGGACATTGTAGGACTGTAACATTCAGTGAAATCCACATCCCATCAAGATATGTGTGCCAGTCAATATTCTTTCTCCTGTGAGTACAAATGTCTCTCCATTTGAAATTTATTATAGTTTATGGTCAATTACTTGTAATTATAGACATGGTTTTCATCCCAAATTTTCATCATTATGTTATTTTTGGAAGGATTTCTTAGGAGCAAAGTGCATTATAAATGTCTATATTTCACGCTTTTAAATTGAATCCATCTATCATTTTTATTTCCATTAGATCAAGATTGACCAGATTACTTTTTGCTGATATCATTTACTGACAACCAGAGCTACTTGGTTTTTCCCTTCTGCTTATCAGGTGTCATTGGAATCAGGTATTCAACCTAGATTAAATCTGTTATGACAGTGTTGATAGAAAACACTTCCCTTTGGGGGAAGGAAAAGAAACTATAATACTAGAAAATAAACATTATTGCAGTTAACCATTGACTGACATAGTCTTTCTCAGCCATTTATATTTGTGAACAGTAGTCTGCATTCCAGCTTTGCAGATGTTTGCTGATATAATGGAATGTGTTTGTTGTCATTTTACTGATTCCATATACTGTTTTCCAGCTTAATATACAATAAACCAGAGCTTTCATTTTTTAACATACATATAAATTAGTATTGGTCGATGAGGTAAAAGTCTATGATTTTAAGGAAGCGTTACTGTAAATTGAATTAAAATCCAAAGTGTTCATGCCAAACCATTCTCTGTGTTAAAAGACATTGAAGGGCCATAGTAAATAAGAAGCTAAATTTTCCATTGATTTATCCTTAATGATAAAAACCTTTTAACAGTTAACTGAAGAAGAAATTAAATATTCTGTCTGGTTTTTCAGTTGGAATGTTGCACAAATTGAGGAATAAAAGCTTATCTGCTTGTTCTCTGGATGATTTTGTTTCCTTATTTGTACAATTGAAAATATTCCTTATCATGAAAGTAAAGAGTAGTAATAATAACGTATTTAATTTTATCATAAAAAACTAAATTTGTCCTCCTTTGAGCTTCAGTATTCTTTCTTAATCAGAATAGCAGATGGTTAAGTGTGGTATTTAAGACAGCTCGAAATTCTCTAATAGATACATATGTTTTGATTTCATGGGGATGCAGTTTTCTCACAACTTACCCAGTTCTGGAGCTTATAGCAGCCACACTT